TGTTCAGTCTGGAGAAGAGAAGACTGAGGGGGATCTTATCAATGCTGATAAATCCTTCAAGGGAGGTGCCGGGGGGATGGGAACAGTCTGTTTCCAGTGGTGCCCAGTGACAGGACAAGAGGGAATGGGCACAAAGGTGACCATCGGCAGTTCCATCTCCACCTGAGGAGGGCCTTCTCTGCTGTGAGGGTGGCAGAGCAGTGGCACAGGCTGCCCAGAGAGGTGGGGGAGTCTCCCCCTCTGGAGCCATCCCAAACCCGCCTGGACGCCGTCCTGTGCCACTGCTGGAGGTGCCCCTGCTCTGGCGGGGGGTGGGATGGGGGAGCTCCAGAGGGCCCTTCCAGCCCTCACCAGTCTGGGGTGCTGTGGATGTCCATGCAGGAGATAAGCTAGAGGCTGCAGCCAGAAGTGACCCCATAGCTCTTTCGAGGGGATCAGGGGTAAGCAGGACTTACTGAAGGATCTGATTTATATCTGCACTCAAGGTGGAGAGGATGAGCCCGTCCCCAGGCACCTTGCAACGGGCACGTGGTGCTCACAGTAAAATCCCAGTGGCTCCAAACTGGGAACCTTTCAGCGGAGCCGGTCTCTCAGCAGCACACATCCAGCTCCTCAGAGGAGGGGTGCTGGGTGTCCTGGCACCGGGAGGGGACCCTGCCCATTCTGGTGCGTGTTTTACTCTTGGGTGCAGTGGGCAGGAATTGCTTTGTTTTACCTCCTTCGGCAGTGGTGGACTTGGCAGTGTTAGGTTTGACCTGAAGGTCTTTTCCAACCTAAATGATTCCATGATTCTAATGCCCGGGGTTTGAAGATGAGAGCGGAGTCGCCAGCAGCGCTGCCACCTCCTGTGCCGTCGGCACGACCCCGTGCCATACGCGACCCGAGCGTGGGGGACACGGCCCCTGGGGAGGGGGAACTGAGGCACAGAGCCCCCGGGGGCTCCAGATCTGGGCGCTTTAGGTGATCGAAGTCCATTTCGTGACACATCCCTCAGTGCCAAAGCTGTTTCTGGATGCGCAGCTTGGCCGTCTCACCCATCCCAGCGGCACGGGCAGCGAGGTCGGGGCTCGGTGCTCGCAGGGACGCAGCCGTGTCTGTGCTGGGGGCTGTAATTCAGGGTGGGTTCCCGGGCTGGCTACCGGCCTCGGGCAAAGGCTGTTTGTGAGCTCGGAACAAAACCTGCGTCCAGTTCTGGGCTCCCCAGTTCAAGAAGGACAGGGATCTGCTGGAGAGGGTCCAGCAATGGGCTACAGAGATGATGAGGGGATTGGAACATCTCTCATATGAGGAAAGGCTGAGGGACCTGGGTCTCTTTAGTCTAGAGAAAAGAAGATTGAGGGGGGATCTTATTAATACATACAAATCCTTCAAGGGAGGATGCCAGGGGGATGGGAGCAGTCTTTTTTCAGTGGCGCCCAGTGATAGGACGAGGGGTAATGGGCATAAACTTGAACATAGGAAGTTCCATCTTAACATGAGAAGGAACTTCTTTACTGTCCTGTGCAATCTGTTGTAGGTGACCCTGCTCTGGCAGGGGGGTTGGACTAGATGATCTCCAGAGGTCCCTTCCAACCCTGACCAGTCTGTGATTCTGTGATTCTGTAATTGAATCCACGGGAGCCGCAGCTCTGCCGCAGACGCGCAGGCAGAGGCTGTGCTGCAGCCCGGCGTGTTAGCGGTCGCTGCCGACATCTTCCAGGTGGATTTCTTTCATGTGAGGAAAGCCAGGATCTCAGACCCATCTGACTCTGAGTCTGTGCGGACAGATGCTTCGCTGAGCCCTGAAGGGGGGTCAGCGTTTGGCCAAAACGTGCACTTTTGACTAGCGATGGGCCAGATCAGATCTCGCGCAAGTTAGGAGCCGCAGATGTTTGCATCCTCAGCCAAACTACTGTTCCAGTGTGTGGCCGTGATCCAGCTTTGGGGGATTTTATTTTTTTTCCCCCCCCTAACGCGCTGCTTTTCCTCACCAGGTGTCAGGAAATGTGCTCCCGCTCCCTGGCTATATGGTCCGGGGCATTTCTGTGACGGATGCCGCGGGATCGCGCCACTTGGCCATCCCAGCAGAGCTGCCTACTGGTGCCCAGGCGGGAGAGTGGGAAGGCAGCAGCGTAAAATCGGGTGCACCTTCCACCCCACTGGTTCTCCGGGTGTTTCTTTGAGACTTGGTGCCACCGGTTTGCCCTGAATCAGCCGTTTCAGTTGCAGGATGGCCCTGGCCACCCTGGCACTGGTCACCCAGCCACTGTGGGATGTCCCCTGGTTGTCGGGGGGGTGTCCCCGTCCAGGGTGACACAGCTCTCCTCCTTTGCCTTTCAGGGCTGTCCTGGGAGACGTGGACTGGTGGGACCCAAAGGAGATAAAGTGAGTATCCAGGAAAACGCGGGCAGGTACGGGATGGGGTGTAGGGTCCAGGGCAGATACCACAGATGGTTTGGGTTGGTTTGGGTGTTTTTCATCAAGAGGGCAGCGTGAGCTTCTGAAGCTGCAGTCTGGTGGCTCTTTAGGTGCGTTTGGAAGAGGAAAGAACTGTTTTTACTGGGTGTGTTAAGCTCAGGCTCAGGACTGATCTGCATCTTCCCTCTGAGCCACTTCACAGCTCTGTGAAGGCGGCAGGGCAGGGCGGTGAAGCAGCTTTAGCTCAGGTCACCTGGAGGAGGGATACCGGCGTGTCCGAAGTCCAGCCCCATGCTATGTCCACCAACTCATCTCAGAGGGGACATCCATCCCCAGCAGCGCGTTGGTCAGACCCACGGCTGCCCTTCCTCCTCCAGGACCGCGGCACGCAGCACGGAGAAGCTCTGTCTCCTGCCACGAGCAGCGTTGCCTGGTGTGCTGGGAGATGCTCGGAGATGCTCCGGGTTAAGGGTGGTGCCTCAGTTTCCCCATCAGTAAAACAGCAAAAACGCTCCTAACCACCTTCGCACCGCAGTTTCCATCCTTCCCAAGCTGTAGAGGCGCAGACCCCAGGAGTCACATCCCTTCTGTGTGCATCAGCTCCAGTACCTGTGGCATTTGGACGGGTCTGGGCACAGGCACGTCCGTATGAACCTCATCCCTGTTGTCAGAGTTATTTAGGTCTTAAGAGCTTGTTTGAACCCAGGAATGTGCCTAGACCCGGGGGCTGACGTGAGCCAGAGCCTGTGTCCAGCCTGCGTTGACTGTTGAACCCCCGGCTGGCTTTAAGGACCTGTCTTTGTCCTCCCAGGGGTACCCTGGAGCCATGGGACGGACGGGCCCTCCGGGCGACCCGGGCCCTGTGGGCATCCCCGGTGTCCCCACCATCGTCCTCTGGAGGAACTCCAGGGAGGACTGGCAGACGTTCACGGTGAGTTCCGACCACGGCGGGTGAGCGCTCAGGGAGCTCTGCTCACACCTCCCCATCAGCTCCCGTGCGGGCGCCTCTCTGCCTCGCCAGGACGGAAGCTGGGAGAGAAGGCTTGGCGATGGTTCGCGGTCCCTAATCTGTCGGGTTGGGAAGACAGAGGTGGTGGCAGCTCTCCTTGGGTGAAAGGGGATCGGCGTGCGCCCTGTCACGGCTGTGCTCACACCGCTATCCCTCTGTCCCCTGCGACCGATCTTGGCTCCCCGTGGTCCACACACATCCACAGCCTCAGCAAGGGGTGGTTCCTGCCCTACCTCGTAGGACAGGAGCCAAAGAAGGTCCAAGCCATGCGGAAAGCAGCCCCTCTTCTGCTCTGTGATGCCGGTTACAAAGCATTGCTCCTGTTTTCCACCATATCCCAGTTTTCTGCCGTGCCCCAGTTGTGTGCTACGGCTCTGGCTTGCAGGGTTCATGCCCGTCATGCTTCTTGCCAAGACGAGACGTTTTCTCACCTGAACCCATGTGGGGAACACAGGAGTGGGGATGGGACCTGCAGGGGGGCAGGAGTCCTTCAGCTGGTGCGTAGCTGGCTGCAAAACTGGAAGAGGGCAGGTTTAGATTAAACATTAGGAAGAAGTTTTTCACTTTGAGGGTGGTGAGGCACTGGCACAGGTTGCCCAGAGAGGTTGTTGAGGCCCCATCCCTGGAGGTGTTCAAGGCCAGGCTGGACGGGGCTTGGAGCAACCTGGGCTGGTGGGAGGTGTCCCTGCCCAGGGCAGGGGGGATGGAACTCGATGATCTTCAAGGTCCCTTCCAACCTAAACCATTCTATGATTCTATGAAAACTCCCGGCACCATGGGAACCATCACTGCAACGGCCCAGCCAGCCCCGTCCAGGTTCCCCGACTCCTGACAGCACAGCGACCTTATTTCAGCTTAATTTCAAGCTCCCTCTCGAGCCTTGCCTGCGCCCGGCACGGCAATGATGAAGGCACTGGGTTTCTAATTGCTGTCGGTGCGTTACCAGCCCGGGGCTGGCGGTCCCTGGGGTGGGGATGCTCTCTGCGTTTTGCGTCTGTGATGTCGCTCTGATGGCACTGCAGCCTGTCCCGATATCGGCTGCTCAAAGCTGATGCTGGGCAGGGTGGCTTGCAAGGCAAGCTGGTGCAGTGGGCAGAGCAATGGGCCGGTGAGAGGCCAGGCTCTGACTCTCTCATGACCTTGGGCAGGACATTTGACTGACCTTCAGCTCATCCGTTTGTGAAGAGGGACAATGGCACCCTCTGCTCCAGGGCAAATACATTGAATTCTGGCGAGACAATACATGAGGGTGACCTCTGCTCTGCCAGCGCAGCACACCCCGAGGAGGGGATGATGCTGGCCGGCGGGAGGAGGTGGAGAATGGCCCTGTGCTGGTGTGGCTCTGAGCTTGGATTGACCAACCAGAAGTCAGGGCAGACCTGTCCTTTGCGGTTTTATGTTGGATTGGATCAAAGCAGCTGCAGAAGATAACTTGCCTTGGAGGAGATCAGAGTCCTTCTGGGAAGTGCAGGAGAGCTGATCATTGGGAATTATCTTGGTTGACCTAGTGGACCTCCATGTTCTCCTGTCCTCCTGCTGCTCTAGAGCAGGTGCTGTGCTGTCATCAATGCTCACAAGACCCATCGTGGGCATGCAGTGCAGGACCAGAGCAAGCGGGCGTAGGAGAGAGCGAGCTGGAAGTGTTGGCTGGAAGAAGCCTGCAGTGCCGGAGAGCATCTCCGTGCCTGCGCCAGGGCAGCTGCCTTCCTCCCAGGGTGTTTGGGGTAGACATCTGCAGAACTGAGTCCTGTTGTCGGGTCACGGTTACAGCACTTTGCAGAGTTGCTGATGCTCTTTGCTCTGCACACTCGGTCAGAACTGCGTTTTTCTTTTCCCTGCCTGCATTTGGAAAGAGACCTCAGTTCTTCTGCAGGCAGAAACGTTCATGCTGATGGATGTTGCCGTAGACTGTGATTTCTTCAGTGTACCACCACTTTCGGCGCTTAGGCGTTGGGAACGCTGGAAGGAGCAGGCGGTCTCGTCTGTGTTTGGGAAGCCCAAGCTGGAGGGCTGCCGGAGCCCCGGCCGCGGGCTCCCGGGGGGAGATTTGCGTGCTGGCATTTGGCTTGGTGCTTTTGGCAAAGTGCCGATCTGGAGGGGAAGGCAGTGTCTGGCCAGGATGACGTGGGGCAGCCGAAAGCCTTGCTGGGCTATTGTGTCTCCGACCCCGGCGGTGCCGGCGGCGGCGTTTTGCCCGGCAGCAGGAAACGGGAGCGCAAAGCCGTGGGATTTGCTAATCTTTGTTGAGATAGCGCAGGGATGAAAAGCTGAGCGTGGGCTGCTGTGAGGACCAGGGGGGGGCTGTCTGCTTCTGCAGCCCCTACAGCTTTTTGGGGGGAGGGTAGGGGGAGCTGGAGAGATGCTGTGGCTTTGGGACAGTGCTGCTCTTGTGAACGGAGTGCTTGGGATTTGGGGGCTGCAGGGGTTTGGTGTTGGCTCAGCCTTTGGAAATGCAAGTCAGAGGAGCCACCTCTCAGGCTACAGGACGTAACGCAATGTGATGGACCGGGTCCAGCAAAGGGCTATGGAGATGCTGAGGGGACTGGAGCATCTCTCTGCTGAGGAAAGGCTGAGGGACGTGGGGCTGTTCAGTCTGGAGAAGAGAAGGCTGAGGGGGGATCTTATCAATGCTGATAAATCCTTCAAGGGAGGGTGCCGGGGGGATGGGAACAGTCTGTTTCCAGTGGTGCCCAGTGACAGGACAAGAGGGAACGGGCACAAACGTGACCATAGGCAGTTCCATCTCACCATGAGGAGGGCCTTCTCTGCTGTGAGGGCGGCAGAGCAGTGGCACAGGCTGCCCAGAGAGGTGGGGGAGTCTCCCCCTCTGGAGCCATCCCAAACCCGCCTGGACGCCGTCCTGTGCCACTGCTGGAGGTGCCCCTGCTCTGGCGGGGGGTGGACTGGGGGAGCTCCAGAGGGCCCTTCCAGCCCTCACCAGTCTGGGGTGCTGTTAAAGCAAGGGACATCGGTGACTGCAGAAGAGCAGTTGGGATGCTCGGTAGCCTCTCCTGCTCCTCCCCAGTGAAACAAGCCTTTTCTGGTCATGGAAATTGAGCAAAACCAGCTTAAGGCCACTGGGATTCTGCCCCAAGCCCCTGTCCTGCATTTTTGTTTGTGACCTGTTGGCAGGCATTGGGTTTGCCAAGAAGTTGTGTGGGTGTAACTCTAGGGGCAGGAGCTGTTGCTGTCTTGTTCTGGCAGCGTCGACTTTGGTAGCGGTGGAGTTCTGGCAGCCGGGGAAGGAGGAAGGAGAACAGGAGCTCCCGCAGGGAAACTGGGGCTGGTAACCTCAGAGCAAAAGAAAAATATTGCTCCATGTGAAAAGGAGGGAACCTTTAGGGACTGCCTGCTACTGAGAGGTGGGCGGCAAACGCAGCTCTGGGACTGCGTGGCTTTGTGGCCGTGGGGTGGGCTGGGGAGGGAGGTCACAGCGTGGGCTGGGTAGAGCGGCCAAGCCCGTGCCGGACAGCAAGAGCAACAGAAATAAAATCTAGACAGTGAAAGATGTTCATATACAGAATCACAGAATCACAGAATTTCCAGAGTTGGAAGGGACCTCTAGAGATCATCTACCCCCACTCCCCTGCTAAAGCAGGACTGCCCAGAGCACGTTACTCAGGACTGCATCCATCGGGTCTTGAAAACCTCCAGAGAAGGGGACTCCCCCACCCCCCTGGGCAGCCCGTGCCACTGCTCTGCCACCCCAACTGTAAAGGAGTTTCTCCGTGTGTTGGAACAGAACTTCCTCTGTTCCAACTTGTGCCCATCGCCCCTCGTCCTGTCCCTGGGAACCACCGAGAAGAGTCTGGCTCCATCCTCCTTCAACCCACCCTTTAGACACTTGTACGCAATAATAAGGTCTCCCCTCAGCCCTCTCTTCTCCAGGCTGGAGAGTCGCAGCGCTCTCAGCCTTTCTCATACGGGAGATGCTCCAATCCCTCAGTCATCTTGGTTGCCCTTCGCTGGACTCTCTCCAGCAGTTCCCTGTCCCTCTTGAACTGGGGAGCCCAAAACTGGACACAGTATTCCAGTTGTGGCCTCACCAGTGCCGAGTAGAGGGGGAGAATGACCTCCCTCCACCTACCGGTCACACTCTTCCCTATGCAGCCCGGGATTCCATTGGCCTTTTTGGCGACACGGGCACACTGCTGCCTCATGGACAATTTACTGTCTACCAGGAGCCCCAGATCCTTCTCCTCAGAGCTACTTCCCAGCGAGTCCACCCCTAACCTATACTGGTGCCCAGCATTCTTCCTCCCCAGGTGCAGGACCCTGCGGAGCTGTCAGAAGGGTTTTCTCTGCCCTGCTCTCAGGCTGGAGTATTCCAGGAGGACAGATCCATACGGCCATCACTCCCCACCCTCCATCCCCTCCATTTGCTTAAGATCCCAATAGCCATAACGCCACTCCGATCCCGGTACCCGTCGCACTGCTCCGATCCAGTACCCGTCATACCGCTCCCCACCGACCAGAGCTTTTTCCTGCTGAAATTGCAGAAAGAAATTAACTTCTCTTTTCTCTCCTTGGCATCTGGTGCTCCGAAATAAGAGTTCACATCCCCTGTGGGATTTTTTTTCCCCTCCTTTTTAAAAGGTTGGATTTTTTTTATTTTTTTTTTTTGTGAAGCCTGATGAAATAATATCCTGTCCCAAGTGAACCTGAGTTCACTGATTCCTGAGACAAGGCAAAAGCGTTGGCTGCGCTGGTCTCCGCCCCACCCCCCCCCCCCAAAAAAAATGGTTTTGTGAGCCGCTTTTGAGGGAAACAAGAACTGGCTGGACAAGAGGAGCGTGGCCTGGCCCTGGCAGGCTGGCAAGTCATCGCCCACAGTCATCAATTCGGGATCGACTTGAAAGGGACCGAGATGCCTGGTGCGGTGTTAGAGCTGGTTAAATGCATCCATCCATCATCTGCCCCCG